ATAATAGCTGGCAAAAAAAATAAGGATAAAGTTAAAAAATTTGTTGAATTTTAAATGAAAATCTATAAAGTTTAAGATTTTTCACTTTTTCTTAATATATGTGAAACATATTGAAAGTAACTTATAAATAAGATCAGTAACTTGTAATAAAAACTAGAAATATATACTAAACCAAATTTTAACAATAGGATTATTTTATTTCATCAAAAATCACGTGAGTACCTTTTAGAAAGGGAAAAAGACAAAAAAATAACACTTGAATTTTATAATATCCAAATAGTCTGTTGAATTTGAGAAATCCCAATTTGGTTTCGGGATTATCATGTTAAAGGAAAAAACAAAATTGTCTTTCATTTTATTTATTGTTTTTAAAATACCAAAGCTCCCACTAGTCAGTCGGTCGGTCGCTCAAACTCTGGCAGCGGCAGTCATCGAAGCTCCGACGGCCGGAAACAATTTTTTTGAAAATGTTACAACGTCAGTATAACAGTTAACAACTTTTGTAACGCCATTAACAACAGGTTTTCAAGAAATTCAAAAAGTAGCATTTTTACAACTTCAATAATACTGGTAACAAGTTCTGTAACTCTATTAACAACTTCGATATAGCATTTAACATGTTTTCTTAAAAATTCAAAAAAATGGCATTTTTACAACTTTAGCAACTACTTTTTTTTTTTTTTGAAAATTTTTACAACTTCAATATAACGGTTAACAATTTCAATATAGCAGTTAACAACAAGTTTTCTGAAAAATTCAAAAAGTAGTATTTTTACAATTTTAATAATGTCGTTAACAAGTTCCGTAACTCTATTAACAACTTCGATATAACATTTAACAACAAGTTTTCTTACAAATTCAAAAAAATGGCATTTTTATAACTTTAACAACTATTTTTTTTTGAAAATTTTTACAATTTCAGTATAATGGTTAACAACTTTTATAACTCTATTAACAATTTCGATATAGCAGTTAGCAACAGGTTTTTTAGGAAATTCAAAAAGTAGCATTTTACAACTTCAGTAATGCTGTTAACAAACTCAAAAACCTGTTGTTAGCCGCTATACTGAAATTGTTAATAGAGTTACAAAAGTTATTAACTGTTATACTGAAGTTGTAAAAATTTTCAAAAAAATTGTTTTCTACCGCCGAAGCTCCGACGACCAATTATTAATTTTTTTAAAAAAAATTTGTTGTTAACTGATATACTGAAACTATTAATAGCGTTACAAAAGTTGTTAACAGTTATACTAAAGTTGTAAAAATTTTCAAAAAAATTGTTTCCGGCCGTCGGAGCTTGTTGAATTTATAAGAAAACCTGTTATTAATTGCTATACTGAAATTGTTAATAGCATTACAAAAGTTGTTAACTATTATATTGAAGTTGTAAAAATTTTCAAAAAAAATTGTTTCCAGCCACCGAAACTTGTTGAATTTTTCAGAAAACCTGTTGTTAACTGCTATACTGAAGTTGTTAATAACATTATAAAAATTGTTAACTGTTATACTGAAGTTGTAAAAAATTTCAAAACAATTGTTTCCGGCCACCAGAGTTTGTTGAATTTCCCAAAAAATCTGTTGTTAACTACTATATGAAGTTGTTAATAGTGTTACAAAAGTTGTTAACTGTTATACTGAAGTTATAAAAATTTTCAACAAAATTGTTTCTGACTGCCGGAGCTTGTTGAATTTCCCAGAAAACCTGTTATTAAATGCTATACTGAAGTTATTAATAACGTTGCAAATATTGTTAACCATTATATTAAAGTTGTAAAAATTTTCAAAAAAAATTATTTCCGACCGCCAGAGCTCTGGTGACCAATTGGCGACCTGTCACCAGAGCTCCAATAACTGCCGCCGCCAGAGCTCCGATGACCAGCCAACCGGCCAATGGGGACTTTGGTATTTTAAAAACAATAAATAAAATGAAAGGTAATTTGGTCTTTTCTTTTAACATGATAATGCCAATTTGGTCTCTTGAGACCAAATTGAGATTTCTTAAATTCAGCAGACCATTTAAGCATTATAAAATTCAAGTGTCATTTTTCTGTCTTTCTTCTTTTTAGAAAGTAGTATATTTGATCTTTTTGATTGGTCACTTTATAAGTTTTCAAGAGTATTAAATATTCAAGGCCAAAAATAAAGAGTATTAATTTTTTCCCCATATGCATACTACATTGAAAAGTGTGAAATCGAATTAGTGAAAAAAAGGATATATTCTAGCAAAAAAAGGATAAAAAGTATTATAGTGGGGTTAAATGTGATTAAACTGGGTAATATAAAAGCTATTTTAATTTCATGACAATTTTGATTTTGTAAATAGCCTTTAACCATTTTCTTAGCATAAATAACTTATTTTTAAGACTTAGAGTAATAGAATCCATAAAGTATTTAAGTAATTTTGTCCAAACAGCATCATTAAATTAATTTTAATTTCAATGTACTACTTGAGTCTTTAATATAAGATCTAATTAGAAAGTTAATACTAGTTATGTATATATAAGACTTATTTCACGTATTTATCAATTTTTTTTCAAATTAACAATGATGATTAAGTAGGAGAGGAAGAGAGAGATTAATAAAGATACTTAAAGTATTTTAAAAAATACTGACATCCTTAATCTACTCAATTAGTTCATTAGACCTTACATTAAATACCTTAGGAGTATATATTGATCAGGTTAATATGATTATATGTTGTCATACTATAAATGGTTTAACATTGACACTTGAAAATTATTCGATTTCTAAAACAAATGACGTCAAATAATGCCTAGGACAAGTTATGTTATTTATAGGTCATCAACGATTAAATTTATTTTTATGCCATGTGTGGGGGAAAAAATGTTTAATTTAAAGTTCTTATCATCTTTAATTGACCTGATTTTAGTTTTTATCCCTAAAGTTTAAAATAATCATTTTGATCCTAAAACCTTAAAAAATAAAAACATTATTTAAATGACCAAATATATTTGGACGAATTAAAATGAGGTCCAAAAATCACAGATCAAAATTAGGGGTGTTTACAGGACGGGACAGGACCGGGACAGGCCCGTCCCGGTCTCGTCCCAATGAACAGAGACGAGACAAGATTTTTGTCCTGCGTCCCGTCTCCTCCCGTTTCGCTTCCCCCTTTTTTCTAAAAAAAAACTATAATTTTTTATGTGAATTTTTTTAATGTTATAATGCTTATTTTTTATTAGGCTTCAAGAAATAAAAACATTATAAGAAAATATTATGTAAAAAGCTCAATTATATAGTATAAAAAAAGTATAAAAACAATACTGTAAAAAAAATACCGTGAAAAAACACTATATGATAACTTTATGAATTATTTTATTGAGGAAGAAGATTTTATTGAAATAAGGGAAAACCATATTGGAGGTACCTATACTTTCTCTCAATTTTCAATTTGGTACCTATGTGTTTTTTGTTCTTAACTAAATCTTTAATTTTGCTCTATTAACATCATTAATCCTTATGTAGAGACTAAAAATATCAATAGAACAAAGTTATAAGAGCTAATGTTGCTAAAAAGATAAAATTAAATGTTTAATTAAAGGGAAAAAAATACATAGATACCAAATTAAAAATTGAGAGAAAGTATAAGTACCTCCAATATGGTTTTCTCTTGAAATAATACTACAACTTCAGAGCTAAAAATCACTATAAAAATAATAATTGTTATTAATAAGTAAGTTGAATAATCTAATAATAATTATTAATAAATAATTTTTAAAAGAGAAAAACCCCGAGACGGGACGCGAGACGGGGTCATCCCGTCCCATCCCATCCTGTTTTGTCTCGTCCCGAAATTTTTTTTGTCCCGTCCCGTCCCGTCTCGAACTTACCAGTATTGAGACGAGATGACTAAGACTGGACAAATTAAACACCTCTAATCAAAATGAGGTTAAATTTTATGAATCAAATCCACTAGCTTCAAATTTTAGGAATTAAAATCAAAATAAAGTCAAACTTCAGGAATAAAAATAATATTAATCCTTAATTCAATTAAAATGACTTCACAAAAATCACATCTCAGTGGAGAATTCTTTCATTCGTAATCGTAACCTAAGAGTGATTTTTGTTCCCTTGTTTAAGCCTCATATAGTAATGAATAATAGTACTAATTATTCAATAAGTCCAATACTAGGTCTACTCACAGAACAAGACGAGACAGAAACAAGCCTGTCCCCCAAAAAAAAAAAGGACATCCCGAGATGTCCTGTTTTTTTTTTTAATTTTTTACAAGCCAATGTAATTTGAGTCTTATTCTTTTTTTATGTTATACTATTTGTTTTTCATTGAACTTCTGAAGATAAAAACACTAAAAAAAATATCATGTAGAAAGCCTAATCATATAATGTAAAAACAATACTGTCAAAAAAGAATTGCTACAAAAAAAAACAATATATAATAGCTTTATGAATTATTTTATTAAGAAAGAAAATTTTATTGAGATAATATTGTAACTAAAAAGCTGAAAATCACCATAAAAAATAATTATTCTTAAAAAATAAATAATTTAATAAAAACTATTAATAAATATATTTTTTTAAAAACTCCCAAATGCGATCCCATGCCCCATCCCCTCCTGATCATTATTTTGTCTCGTCCATTTTCAAAATTTATTTTTGGTCCTGTCTCGTCCTGTATTAACCAGAACTAGGACAGAACAAGTTCACTCCGATCTAATACCATCTTGAGTCTTAAATATAAAAACTAGTTAAAAATCATAAATAAAATACTCTAATCCACTTTGTCTCTCAAATTTATAATGTGTTTTAAAAAATATCCCTATTCATTGTAATGTAGTTTCACCCAAGTATAATTCTAATATACATAATTGAATAAATGTAATTTAAAAAAGTCAATATAGATTTGTTACAAGTAACTAACTTAACTAATTCTCTTAATTTTTTTAAATTAGTTATCAAACTCTTATATTAAGAAGAGGATGCAATAACTCATTGGAATGTTTTCACATCTCAGTCGCTAAGTTAGTGTAAAACCATAATTTAATATACATATCAAAACTTTTGGCCAACAATTATATACATACAATAAACGAAAACCATTTTTTTGTTTTCCATCATATTTGTTACATTCTAAGACATTCCTAATCACCTGACATGCATCGCTCCAATGTTAACAGAATACAATTACTTATGATAAACAACTAAAATGAATCCACCCCTATACTTCCTTATATATATTATAAATCATAAAACAACTTGACATGCCTCACAAAACTCTTCAGACCCTAAGCACCTTCCCCATCACATGTATTCCCCACATTTCTCAACGGTAAAAATCTAAACACAAGAATAAATCCAATGAATGTATCAGGTTTATGGGGAGTAAAAACAAAAAATAAAGGACTGATCTAAACAGACCTAGTTTCATCTCAATACTCAGCTATATGACTTGTTTTAATCTTTTTTTTTTTTTTCCCAACTTTGTTCAAAAAGGACCAAAACCACCAGAATGCTAGCCAGCAAAAATTGAGTTAACTTATTCTTTTCGTAGCTTCTGCACTGGTTGAAAATGTACCAGACCACGATGAGATAAGCGTTTAGACAAATAGTAAGAAAGAAAGGTTTCTCAGCGACCTGTTTTTGCACGCTTCATTCCACTGGAATTGAATGGAGATACACTACCACTTGGACCAGGACTCTCTTCTCTGAAATTTGAATTCAGCATAGCTAGTTCACGCAACTGCTGCCTCTTAATGTAGTCTTGTGACTCGTCCTGCATATATATGGAAGATTTACATTTCAGAGGAAACAGATGAACAACTTTTTCATAAATGAGATCACTCAGCAAACTTCTATGATATTAATTTAACTAACAAACTGATGTTCCAACAAAGAAACAAATCATGGCATCAATATCCAAAGAAAGCAAAAGGTCAAAAGTTAGGTGCAATTGTTGTTGGGAGTACTTCTTCAAGTCCCACATCGGATCCAAAAGTCTTAAAAGTCAAACTGGATTTTCAGACACAGTAGAAATGTTTAAAATTTTAAATAAGGGGTATACTTGTATGAATAATATTTCTACTAGCCTAAAATTGATTGAGAATTTAAGAGAAGGGTAAGAGTTTCATGAAAATAGAATCTGCTACATAGTATTGAAAGCCAGACCAACTCTACTAATTGAACCGGTAAACTGGTGACCTAGTCCCCTAACTAGCTGGAATTTTGATTAAACAAGGATTTGAGCAAACTTAATTAACCCAATCAACCCAATTTTGACCCAGCGTAACTTGGCGAGTTGAACAGGTTACGTGGCCTAGCATTTGTTTTCTTTCCCCTCCTGAACAGTTAAATGACGTTGTTTAGCTGAGCTAATAGCAGTATTTTGTTTGTGCAAAGAAGTTGCGCTGAATTTAAGATAAATTTGTGGTATTAATGTAGCTTGCAAATATAAGTTACTTTAGTCATGAAAATGTATCTTCCCAGCAATCCCAACATGAAGTTGTTGTTTGAATTAATGCTGTATAAAACATTCAGACTTTGTCTGATTTATGGATGAATGTTCAAAATCACAAGTCCAGAGGGTTTCATGATTCTTATGTTTTAATTGGAAATAACAACTACCTAATGAACTTTACTAAGATCTGGTCAAGATTAAAAGTCCAAACTGAAATAACTAAAATTAACTTGTGCCTTAATATTTGCATGAAAATTCAATAGCTTTTTATGTGTTAGCGCAAAGTTTTCCAGATATTGGTGATCTTAGACAAAGTGAAGCAGAATAAAAACCTGATTACCCTTCATGTCACACAAGGCTATAGGAGGAGAATGCTTACCACAGGTTTGAGCAATTCTTCAATAATTTCCTGTGCCTGTCTAAGCCTTAAGTCAACTACACTTGCAGGCAAATCAGCCTCGATCAAAATATGCAGCGGTTCATTGAGATGTTCATAGCCTGGTCTTCCTCTTAATTTCTCTTCCTGAAGATTGACACAGAAAAATTATGATTAAGCACACAATATGGTCATTGTCAGAGCTTAACAACTATAAATAATATATACCAATGCATCAACAAAGGCACTGTCTTTGCCAGCAATTTCCACTATTAGACTAGGGAAATGATATCTGGCTGTTCATTACCTTGTCTGGATCCTTTATTGATCCTTTTCCTCTAATATACACACGGCATCCTGTACTAACTTCTACACGTTTCAGAGAGTTGCCTCTTGGTCCCAGAAGTCTTCCAACAAAGTTGAACTAACACAAAAATGAGCAATATACTTTTAGCATGTGTAGATGATTGAACTTCGAGCTTCAGAAGAGGTAAAGTACACGTATGTGATCAAGTATTAAAAGACAAGTCTGTGAAATTGGAATGTGTAAAAGCTTACATTGGGGTATGTATCTACAGGAATTTCCAATCGCAATATCCTCTTGACAGTGATTGAACTAGGACTTGCCGGTGCTCCACCTTGCCAATCCATTGTCATTCCAGTTGGTCCACAAAATCTCTGCTTAGCAAAGAAGGTAATGTTACTTCAGATGGTATAGGAGTTCGCACAAGATTAACAAGTTGAAGAATGGCGAAAAAATGGATTCAGCAACGCTCTAGCAATCCACAAAATCCCTGCCTTGCAAAGAAGGTAATGTCATTTCAGATGTATGGGAGTCCATATGGGGCAGAAAATGAAGCATTTGAAGAACCAAGAAAACATAACAGCCTTTTGCTACAAAAAAGGATTCTGCAAGGAACTATTCCAAACAGAAGTGTCCCTATAGCGGAATTTCTTCAGGGCCAGCCATAAACACTAAGGCAAGCCGCAATAAATCAAAATGCAGAGTTTCACCGAAGCAGGTAGCATCACAGTCTTCTTCAGGTCATACAGCTCAATTTTAAAGCTAATAATATGCAAATACAACACTAAGTTAATGTATGAAGAAACTTTTTAATTCACACACATTTTTCTACCTCCACAACCTTTAGATTTCATCTCTCAGGCAGAAAAATCATGCATAGATTTAAATCTCAGAGTTCACACAAGTATATGCCTTGTCCACTGCGTTTATGTTGTAAACTTATTGTAGACAATTAAGCACAAGAAATACAGATATCTCAAATCAACTATTACAATAATACACTTTCACCTTCATACTTATGATTCTTTTTTTCTTTTTTTTCCCGGTGATACTTCACACTTATGATTCTTATGACACGCTAAACTGAGTAACTTGTGTAGTCAGAGTGCAATGAGAATAGAGTTCTAGCATGGTATCCTTTTTTTTAAGATGTAAAGCATGTAAGTTAGCAATAATGCATCGAAATTCAAAACACTGTCTCAGCGTAAAATATACTTATTCATGAGACTAAAACATTAGACAGAGTAACAGGCAAAGGCAAGCATCATTAGATGATAAAAATTCCCTCATCATGGGGTGTAGCAGGCGTAAGTGTGAGAAATGTAAATAATATACACAAAGTTCTCTTGAACTTTGCTAAAATATCATATGCCTCGCCTATATCATGCTCACAAAAGTATTCTGGTCAAAAGATTAAAATTAAACCAAAGCTTGGGCTTGTAGGATAAATTTTGGGAGAATTCCACAAAAAGAAGCTTGAAATTACTGAATTCCAAATTAAATTTGGTAACAACACTTAAATAAGTTTTGACAACACTGAACTTGCAAAAAACAACACAATTTTGAAAAAAATTCTTTTTTGGGATTTAGTAATTTCAAACTTCTTTTTGTGTGATTCTCCCATAAATTTTTGTTCCCAGAAAAGTTTATGTAATTTCAGGAAAAATGAAGAAAGGCATGTGTACCTTATTCAAAATAATGCTAATATTAATTTTAAATGTTGATGTATCAGTTTATCGAGCTATCCTATGTTGATTGTGCCTTTAGACTTTGGCAGTGACCTCCTATCATTTATCATTCCTTGGCTTTCAAGAAATTTCACCAAATTAAACTAACCAGCCAAATGCCCTTCTTAATTCAGTATGTATGAATGCAATTCCCTTCAGCAACAAAGCAAGACTAGCAAGTAACGTTTCCTCAAAGGCCCAAACTTTATCTTATGCACTATGGAAAATCATTATTACCATAGAAGGCTGAGTACAACAAAGAAGCACAACATGCCATAAGTAGTATAATTCCATTGCAAGAACCCTATAAACACAAAACTTTGGACATGAATAATTGGAGGATTTATGTTAACGATGAGAATTTATGAATAATCGCTAGGCATGCATTATAACACAACCCACCAAAAAAAAAAGGGAAAGAAAGAAAATTGAGGCTACGCTGATTTGCATATACAAATGATCCTTAGATAGTGGTGGCAAGCATGAGTTGATGATGTTATGAAATACAAATACAAAAGTTACAAATTGAAGAAGTACCACCTCCTGCGGATTCCAGCCACCTATACCGGACCCAGTGACGTTAGACATGAGATTTGAAGATGCCATGGGACTTGGGCTTCTATTCCGCAGTCTGTCAAAATCACCAAAACTTTGGTTGGACATCATTCCAGAAACTCTCAATATTTCTGCACATAGAAAACCAGTCTTATGAGAAGTTGGCAGGAGCTATATAAAATCATGCTCACAGAATGTACAAGGACCTTACTTAACAGATAAAGACAAGGGGGGAAAAAAGAAATGAAAAGATATTGAGTGATCTCAAGAAAAAGGATCATGCACAAGTCGACACAATCCTAGCTATATCAGATTGAAAGAGGCCTGAGAGTCTTTCCAGTTCCACCAAACTTAAAGAAGATTCCTAGTTGATCATTGACAGGACGGAAAATTATCAGCAGAAGCCACGTGGCCTAGATTCCTGTGAGCAAAAAGGTTTAGGGCAGTCAAGTCCCTCGTGCTGAAGGCCTCATTAGCCTACATTGTATTGAAATGATATTCTTGACCTTTAAGCCCAAGCTAAAACTCAAGAGAAAATCTATGCCAAGTCCAAAGCCTTTACAGAATCAATCAAGGATTACCAAACACCTCATGGAAGCTTCAAACTACTTGCACAAACTATAGCAACTTCATGTTTCGCCTTTAAGTTTCTTCTTCCAGCAACCAAAAGTGCACGAAATTTCTTCAAAAACAACGCCAAAAATGAACACTATTCAGACTCTGTAATTGACGTAAATCGCATCTCGGAGATATCAGACTCACTATCAATAGTTGTACACACTATTCATAATTGGACGGTTCCAACAAGTTGCTTGTCACACACACACAAACGAGAGGTACTTTTTGATGAAGTTCAGCTATTTGGGGCGATTCAGATGTAGAGTCATACTAGATATAGAGATTAACAGGGATTTCAATTTAAACTAAACTTGAAGTTTCCCCGTAAAGGTGACTATTCAAGCAAGTGATAAGAGAATTGAGCACCAAAGTGGACAATGATGGGCCACAAGCGAAGCAATCAATGTACGATCCAAACGTTCGAAGGTGAGAAAAACTGGAAAGTAAGATGAACATAGATAAAGACCGTTGATACGCGATCTGAAGAAGAGCAAGCGAGAAAACAAAAGGAATGTAGAGATCCACGAAAGAGAAGATTAAGGAAGAAACCTTGATTTAACAGCCGACTGCATATCGGAAGGACTTGAATAAAGGGTCCAAGCTTCTGATGCTCTGCCAGCAACTCCTGCAAGTACTGACTAAAGGGGGGAAAAACCCAATAAAGTAAAAAAAGACAGCATCTTTAGAATCAAATGCACAGAATTTTGTGACGAACTAGACCAGGACTGTGTCTTTTGCACCCCACTCCATTTTAATCAAACATTCACAAGCAACCTACCTATCCACATCCGGGGTGCTTCTAATCTGAGGAGAAGCCGCTCTAGCGTGAGAGAAGTTCGGATTATACAAACCAGACATGAGTTTTTGTCGTTGGTTCAGCCTTTAGCAGTAGATTGAAGAATTAAGAAAATCGAAAAGAAGGGGTTAAGTCGATGTGGTGGTTGATGCTGTTGCTGCAGAGGGAAAAGAAGAACCAGAGGAGGAGAAGCAATAAAGGGGTCGACAGAAATCTGTGAAATTTACAGAGAGGGAGGCAAATCATTAATTATTTTTCTTGCTTTTTTTTTTTCCTGTCTCTCTCTCTGTATTTTTTCCGTTTTTATATCTTGCTTGACCACAAGCTGTGTGTGTTGTAACTTATAAGTTGCGAGTGGCAACAAATGAGGTATAAATATCAAAAATTAAAAAGCAGGAAAAAGGGAAGACGACGAACAGGGAGTGGAAAGTGGAGCCAGAAATATGAAGGTGGTAGGGATTTTCTTTGCAGAGAGAAAAGGTTTTGACAGCGGACGAAGGCCGAGGAGGAAACGGAGGAGAAAAGATTTTACAATGGGGATCGATGAGGTCAGAGACACTGTAGAAAAGTTAAAAGGCATGTGGTGGTCATGCAGCAGAGAATCTAAGGGTCCATGCTAAGTACTAAATAGACGGCTTAACTATAAAAGGAAAAACCTAATCCCATAAAATATCATTTTTTATTTCACATCAAAATATTATAAAATCTAAATTATATTTCTTTAAAGCCAATAAAAAAAATTCTCTAAGATTAATTGGATATTGAATCCTTACCCTCTATTTAATATTATCAAAACTCACAAATTCAATAATTCCTGACATCTTTTTAAGTTTTTCCTAAATTGAAGTTGTAAATTTAATCCTCTATACATATGGTGAGTGTATAAGTTCTTTTCGTTATTTTTTTTTAACAAATATAAAAAAATATCAATAGAGCAAAGAAATTATGTAAAATCTCTTTTTTTTTAAAGATATTAACAATATAGTATAATATTTCTTCGGATATTAGCAACAATTAACATATCTTTTTTAATTAATTTTAGAATACACATAAGGATTTTTTTTTTGGCTAATTAGAATATACAAGAGTGGATTCTAATCCCAACTACTTACTCAATATTTTTCAAATTAACTCCTCATTTACTAGTCATTTACAATATAAAAAAATAAAATTATATTGAATCTCACTCTTTTTAACCTTTATTTTTTTGCCAAGTATAAGAAGTATGCTCTATCAATAACAGTGTAATATTCTTTGGGATATTAAAAGTGAAAAAGAAAAAGCTCATTTACTATACATACAAGAGTTGAGATTGGGAAGGAAAGAAGAAAAGGAGTTGAGATTTCATCTTCCAACCAATTGCTCAATTTTTTTTTTATAATTAACTCACTCTTTGCTAGTCATATACAAAATAGTTTCCCCTTGTCATATTGTTCTTGTCATATATTTTCACAAATTTTAATGTTAAAAAGACAAGTATAACATATAAAATCTTTTAGATTTATTATTTTTTCTTGCAAGGTATTAAAAAAGGTTGTGTATATTTTTTTTAAACAAATACCCATTTTCAAATCAAATAACTACCTCTCTAATCTTTAATATAATAATTAGATACTATATGAATACTATAATATACATATTTAACAAAACTAATATTTACCAAAATACTATAAAAAATTCCCATATCTTGTCTCATGGATGATATAATTATTTTTATTTGTAAGACTTTAATTTGAAATCTTACTTTAAAAATAGAAAATGGCAGTTTTTATTAATCAACTAACGTCTTCACAATCACATTCAAAGTCATAAAGTACACCATAACCATAACCAACCCTCAAAACACAATTCACCTAAACTCCATATAATTAAGGGGTGAAAAAAGAATCCCATATTATAATCATTTTTTATTAAAAACAGAAAAATCTAGTTTTTTAAAAAAGTAGAGAGGCTTTTCAATGAAACAAGAGAATTAATAATAGTTATAATGTTTGCTTATATCAGAAGGGTACACACTGAGCAGCCAAAATTATAGGGTTTTTGCCAACAAGCTCTGAGCTGGACCATGTATGATACCCTTTACACTGTTTGAGAGAGAGAGAGAGAGAGAGAGAGAGAACTCCAAACAGCCAAAGTTATAAGAAGGGACATGACATATATATACACACACACAAACATGAAACCACAAAATTATTGTATATATGTTGGTATACCATACCTAGTATTGGATTATTCCAAAAACAACAAGGGTTGTGTTGAGTTGGGGGAACTTTATATATATAATATTGAGGAAAGCATTCATTGAGGCCAGAAAAGAACAAAGCGTGAGGAGTTGTAAAGGCAGTGTTGAACGCTTCAACGACAACACAAATGACCAAAGTTCATGATCCTTGCCGATTTTGGTCTTCTCTTCATTATATATATGTGTGTGCGCGGCTCTTTTATTTATACTACCCCATTATAATTATAAGACTTTATTTATAGATTACAAACGAGATTTTATAATTAAGACCGAAAATAGTATACACTAGTTTATATCCTTAATATGAAGTTGCTTAACTGATCTGGGTAGATTAAGAATATTAATTAAGTTAGTTATTTGTTAAAAATATAAGTTGATTGTTCTAAAATACTCTCTTAAATCATTTATATTGAAACTACATCTTGCTACAAACTTCATTAACGTATACAACCAATAGGGATAAGATAATTTGAAAAAGAACTAATAAGTATAGAGAACAAAACAGATTGGAGCTTTATGCTTAGTAGTTATGACCAAACTCAACTTCTAACTAACTTTTATATCAGAGTAGTAGAAACTAGTATAATGCTTAATTAGCTTAAGTTAGTCATGTGTCTCACATATACATGCAAAGTTTGACTGTCTCGTCTTTTATCTTCTTGCAATTGAGGAGAATTAATATTAATACATCATGAGAATACAAACACTTTTGTGATTAAAAAATTAAAAAAAAAACACTTATATCCTTCTTGTTCGTGACATAAGACTTTATACTATAAAATAGGTCTTATATTAAGAATCAGAGAAGTACTAACTTGGATGGTAAGAATAGATTATTCTTTTATTCATATTAAAATGAGTTTTGTCTTATTAATGAGAGTAGTTTTCAATGCAAATAATTAAAGATAGCATTTTAGAAAAATCAACACACGTTTATTATTAATAACTAACTATTAACTAATAATTTAAATACAATTAGACAGTTAAAAGCAACAAATCACCCAAAGTCACCAATAATATCAAATATTATAATCAAATTATATTTAATTACATTAATAACAATTTTATTTCAGAGGTACAGTAGAGTGCATTTTTTTAACTGTTTTTTTTAAAATAAGGAGAACTAACTGAAATTATCACGTAACTGTCTAGTCTACTGAGTTTCCATGAAAAACTTACCTACCAACAGCCTTTTTGACCTCATTTTTTTCAAAAATGTAAAAGCTTAATTGAGTCATACTCATAGGATTTTATCAAGATAAATATACCAACTCAAAGTCCGCTTACAAGGATAAATATAAATTGATATCAATTAATAAGATTTTCACATGGATCTAGAAGTAACAGAGTCAAAGACGCACAATATTTCTTTCTTCTCCACGCAGTGATTCCAACATATGCTTTGAAACAAAGCGATTTTAGTTAATTAAGCATGAGTCACACATAGAAAAATGTCTAAAATGATTGTCTTCCTCTTCACATTATTCCTTGTTTTCTTCTTTCTTTTCTCTTGATTACAATTGGTTTTTTTCTTAAGAGTAATGATTTTTCCCTCCCATAATTCAATCCCTGGATTGAGAGAATCTATCTAGCTAGAAGCTATCCTTTTAGAACTGTGTTCATTTTTTTTTATAATTGATTTATTTACTTTTGCATTTTAATTTCTTACCATGAAAAGACAGCAAAAGATCACCAAATGTAAAATAAAACTAGTCAATGCGTCCAATTGGTAGGATCTCACACACACACATATGTATAATATTGGTTGAGGACACCAATCCAACAATAGCAAAGCTCAAAGCTTGGATTCTTGTTAGGAGATTCCATCAACAAGAAGGAGAGAAAAAATGCATATAAATGACAAGGATAAAAGACATAAAATTTGTGGGTTTTAATTAATGAGGAATATCATTTGAAGACAAGAAAAAAACAAGAGAGGGTGGGCAGAGGAAATGGCAATCAGGGGGTCCTGTGGACTAAACGATAAATGAAAGGAGAGCACAAGGCAGGCAAGGCAGAGTGGCCCTCTGTTCCTCTTGTGAAGAATCCTAGGATGTGTTTTAAACAAAAACAAAAACAAAAACAAATTTATTTTAGAAGAAGCGGCATTTCTCTTCATAATTTATTTTTTTTCTTGAAAACTTGTGTATGTCTGTATGTATTATGGTTGTTTTGTGTCATGGCTTAATGCAATTTCTGGGTTAACACAATTTTCACCAATAAGAAAAAGAAAAAAGTAATGCCGATATGCAGGTAGCTTGCCTAGAAGTGAGAAAGAGAGTACACTCAGCTTAGACCTTATTTGGGAACATATGATGGGTCTGTTTGGATTAGTTATTGGAAAAGTAGCTTATTGAAAAAGTAACTTATAGAAAAGTAAAATTGGGTAAAAGCTAAATTGGATAAGCTGAATTGTGTTTGGATTAGAGTTCAGAAAAGCTAGTTTGCAAAAGTGATATTGGTAAAAGGTTGTTTGGATCAGGGTTGAGTAAAAGTAAGTTTAGTTGTAAAATGACCAAAATATGTATGATTTTTAATAAATAATGAAACATAATTAAAAAAAATGATTTCACATAATACAATAAAATTAAAATAATACAATATGAAAGAGTCAAATTTATAGAGTGAATTAAATTTTAACACCTTAGAGAAATCATAAAAAATATCTTAAATATAAAGTGAAACATGAAAAAAAAAACTAAATTGAGATAATATAATAAAGAAGTGAAAATCTCTTTTTAAATCATGTGACCTAAGTAGGAGTTTGATAAATTTAATAATTAAAATCAAAATTTGAGTTGTTTAACTGTCCTTTTAAGAGATTTTTCTAAGAAAAAAAAAGTTGATTGAAAAATTTGGAATGAATGAATGATACCCGTAAATATACAACATCAACTTTGGTTTTCATTTTATATATGATATTGATAAATTTATACTAATATCAATTGATGATTTATATTGATGATGATTGTTAATTTATACTAATATACAATAAATTTAAATTAATTTAATATGAAGAAGTGAAATTTAATAAATAAATTAAATTTTAAAACCTTAAATTCTTTTGACTATCCTCATCAGTGTTTTGCTCACTCTAGGAATGAATTCAAATTGATCAGCAATATGTCATCATGAAAAATACGGCAGAAGTGAGAGAAAGCTCCTGGTCGAAAAAAAAAACGAAGAAAGGAATACGAGGGAATAATGAATGGGGGAATAAGGTCTGACACATCAACGATCCAATAAGCTCTTCAAAAGCTCCTCCTTCCAGCTTTTGGGAAACGCACGGTTACTTGAGCTTATGAAAGATAAGCTCAATTGGATTTAAGCCTTTCCAAACTGCACTCCATTTCTCAATTGGGTTTCTGTCCAAAATAAGTGGCTTATGGACCAATTTAAGCCCTGCCAAACAGGCACGATAATCACTTAGAAGAAGCTCTTTTACGCTTCATGAGTCAGAACTTATTTAACAATTTATATATTTATCTCATACTTTTTTATGATATTTATAAGTCACTTGCATGTTTTATTTGGACAAAAAAATCTTAAATTTCATTAACTCTTATTTAAAATTTAACAACTGTTCAATTTTATTTCCATTTAATATATATTATACCTCATATAAATAAAATTAATACAATGATCAACGAAGGATAAAATTATACATTTATACAAAAAAATTCCTTTCAGTACCTTAGAAATAGAATCAAAAATATTTTCTCACTGCTCTATAAATAAGACCAGAGGAGTGTAGTATAAAATCAATTATTCAAATTGCCATAAATAGTAGGGATTATTCTTCCAAAAAGAATTACCCAGATTCTAGATCGGAAAGAAAATTAAATAGAGATGGGTTCTTAAATTTCGTTTAAAACTATCAGATATCAAAAAATTTAACATTTATAAGGTTGGCTTGCAAATATAAATTGACTCAAATGAACTTACAAATATGAAATTTTAATTCGTAAATATTACATTTTTAGAGCCTCTCACTATCAAATGAAATTCAAGATAGCTATATGTTATGGGAGTCAAACTACATAAACCATCACAATTGGAAGTTGTAAATGACCACAGCACAGTATAACCAAGAAAGAAAAAACAAAATTAAAGCACATATTGTAGACTTTTGTCCAAATCAATTGACCCCTCGCTATGCAAAAGAGAAAATATAGAGTAATGAAGCAGCATACATCAAGTATAAGAGCATTTCCTGCAAGCTAATTAGCATATTTATTGGTTTAAATATCATCAATATCTATGCTCCATACAAGGCCAAAAAAAAAAATCCTATTTTCCTTAGTTATGTGCTCCTTAGATAACCCAACTACATTATATTTATATCTACTTATTTTATTACTTTTACCATTTGAATTGCAAGTAGTCATCACATTTTATATATAGATATGATTCTTTTCAACATATTTCAAGGCCTTCTAAAAATACCAAGTGATTTCATTATATTGTAACATAGTGAATTGTGCAAACTAACAAAGTTCTCATCTCAAGAAGAAGATTCCAATTCCATTCCTTTTTGAGAAATGGGAAAAATTATTATTTTCACTACACTTCTTTTTTTTTCTTGGGTATTTTTTACCCTAGAGGAAAAACTAGTCTTAGAAGGTGTTTAGATAAGAACAAAATCATGATTTCATAAGTACTTTTACAGTATACAAAATAAATATATAAAAAAATTTGTTTTGATTTGCGAAAAAGTATTTCTTAAAAGTGATCATAAGGTGTTCCAAACACACCCTTAGCTTTGGATTTCTCTGTCTTACATATGGATTCTATTGAGCCCACTAATTCTCCCTAACTTAGGTGGACGGCCCAAGAAAAAGCCTAATCTGATCAGGCCTGCTATGAGATTGATCAGTAGGCATCAGTAGTTCTGTACCCTTCGGAACGAATTGCAGGCATCGCTGGAAACGAAGAGATCAGAATCGGAGAAGGAGAAAATGAGTTGGGTTTGGTTGGAAGCTACTCTTCCGCTAGGAATCATAGCAGGAATGCTTTGTGTTATGGGCAACGCTCAATATTACATTCACAGAGCCGCTCATGGCCGAGTATTTCTTCTTCTTTTTCTTCTTTTTCGATTTTTGTTATCAGTAATACAGATTCGTTCTAACCCTTTTAACAAATTCGGATCTTGCAGCCGAAGCACATTGGGAACGATATGTGGGATGTTGCGATGGAAAGAAGGGACAAGAAACTCATGGAGCAAGCCTCTTCTGCTTCTCCGAATTGACCCGGTATCTACCTTCTTTGGTCATCTCTCTAATCTGCTGTTGAATGACCGCTTTATTCTTAGGCGACTCTTTGTGTTCTCTTGGTATTTTGAAGTTTCTCGTGGCAGCGTATGGCTGATCCTTGGTTTTGGTCCCTAGGGTTTCGAATAGGATTCTAGTAGTACTTTATTTCCATTGACTGGTTCATACAAATTGTGCTTTGTTTTGAAATAGTTTCAATTTCCTCAGCCGGGATGGGAGATGCATCAATTTGGTTATTAGCACAAAACTTTAAAACTTTAGCGAACCATATAAGCAATCTGAATTGACCCATACCTCCTCAAATGTGGATTGAAATTGAAATGGATTTTGTGGCAAGAGTTATTTGAGGGACATAAGGAGATTACGTGAACATAAATGGAGTATTAGACAAAATTTTTCCGACGTGACTCCCACAGTTAATGTATGTGAACTATGCAGCCGCTTTTGTTTGACGTATTCTACAGTGTGTCGTGTACGATCAATGATCAAGGGTAATCCATACGGTTTTGTTTGGTACACACAATCGAAAGAGGAATGAAAAACGAAAAGAGAATGTAACATAGTGATTTTGATAGGAGGTGTAACACTTATATTCAAAACATTAATCAAGTCTCATGCTTGTACAATGGGGGGTATTTACAATTGATCCCTCCCCTAACTACTTGTTTGCTATGTAACAGAAGTGGTTATTGCCCACTTATATTGTTAACTCAACAACTACTTAATAGACTAATGACTCTCCCTAATATTGCCATGTAACAGATTTTGTGATGAAAAATGATCAACATATTCTTTATTTTAGCAGAATTAATAGAGGGACAGACAGCATTGAGACAGTTGAGAATAGACCCAACAACACCCCCCCCCCCCAAAAAAAAAAAATCCGCCTTTACCTTTCTTTTTGTAATGTCAACTGAAGCCCAAGAATCTTATTTCTTGGAGATGTCTATTCGGTATTATGAACCATTGATGGTGGTGGAGTGCTGTTCCTGTTACCGTTGGTGATAAACTGTAAATTACGTTTTGGGTATTTTGCTCATGATTGCCTTGTGTGTTATTGCTGTCAAATTAAGAAATTCTGTATGCCAAACACGCATATCTTTATTGCTAAGCTTTAGGAGGCACTGTGTCTTGGATAAATATTACATGCTATTGCTATGATGAAGGAAGCAAGACTAGTAGAATTGGAGGACTGTTTATATACCTAATCATTGGACTCAAAAATGAAACGCTGATTTAAGACTAGTTTCCTCTGAACTTGAGAAACTATTTGCCTCTAAAAGTTGGATAGTTGGAATGACTACCTTGAGAACAAAGATGATATAGTTTAATGTCTCTGGTTAATATAGCAACCTGTATCCCCCCCCCCCCCCCGGGGCCCCTTTTTTCTTTTTCTTTCTTTCATCCTCCGTCATGAAGGAAAATCAAGGAATTGTGCTTCCATATTCTTCTTTTTTATTAGTGGTGTGATAGATTTATTTTGAAGCATGCCAATAGATAATTTGACACGGAAATTTGATTTGGTTTGTGTAAAACTCGAGGCTTCAACTATGGAATACACATTATGATGCTGATGCTGCAAAATGCAGGTTGTTCCGTCAGCATGCTTCTGAAAGAAATAAATTACTCATCTGATGTTCCAGCTGTTGCAAGTTCTGACCAGGCAGGATGGATGACAAAAGTTACATTTATCATATCATTTCTTGTAATATTCCTATTCTGTGAATCACTTTTCCAAATTTGAATGTGTTAACAGAGGCTTGTTCAAGCGTGTTCGGCACTGAGATATCTACTGTCTATAAATGTTTGATCTCTTTGTGGTTGAATATCCTTATATAAACGTAGAGAACAGTGGTTGATTAAATAAGTAGGCGAGCAACCCTTATAGGTCATATTCAATCCATTCCCCCTTAACGTGAAGAGAATGTTGGAAAATAAGAAGGCTGGTTGTTGCGCATAACAGCAAGGTTAAGTTTGAACTTTGAAGCTTACATACAGATATGTGAAGTGCTAAATAATGAGATGCAGAAATATTGACCAATGACCTTAGCTTTTCTACAGGTATGCTTGTTTGGAAATTCGGGTTTTTAGTGCTTACCCCTCTAATTCGAATAAGAAATGTGGCCCTTATTTAGTCCACTAGGCTTTGACAGTTAGACAGCACTTTACTTCACACCTTTGATGTTACGACTTGGAAGCTTGGCTTGAGCTTGATCCATGCAAGGACATATAGTTCTAGCCTGCTCATCTTGGATGGCTTAATAAGCTCAAGTCGTGCAGTCTCAGTATATGCAGAGTATCTTCAATAGCTTCACTGACCATTATCACTCATGCCCCTCCTACATCTTTATTTATTTTTTTCTGACTTGCCACTCGTACGTGGTGCCACATGGTAATAATTGTTGGCCATGTCAACACCGTGAAAACAGAATTTTCAAAGCGCTCACAAGGATTGGGGTTATAACTTTATAAAACCATGGGGATTAGCCTATCAAATGGGGCTAACTAGTGGGGTCTCTGCTTTTCACATTTATGGTGCCCACTCTTCTTACAAGATTTAAGACTTCAATTGTAAGTACGTTTCACGTAAGTTGAAACAAAACTATTCTCATATATATTACATAAGTTGGAACAAAACTATTCTCATATATATTACATAAATTATGATTAAAAAGCTATTTATAAATTACTTTAAATGAGCTTAGATTATGATGGTTAAAAAGAAAAAAAGCAATAAGGAGACTAGATTATATTTTGTGATCCTTAGACATGGCTCCTTTTAGACTTGTTCTTGAGAACTTGTTTCAGTCACATACAAGTTAATAACATCATCAATATCAAACAAAATTTATGATATCATTAGTGTGACTTATAAACTTTGTACAATATATTTAAAAAAAATGTCTAATTTAATCATTCAAAGCTATTAAAGTCAACTTTGGAAAATGGTGGGATGACGTGTATTTTGCTTATGGGATCCTTTTACTTTGTTTGGCGAAAAAATTTGTTGACATTTGTGATTTATATTTTTATTGGGTATATGAATAGAAATGAAACAATGATTTATATTTTTATTGGGTATATGAATAGAAATGAAACAATTTGATATGAATTTGTTGACCGTGGCAGCTGCATAGTCGCTCTCCGCTTACAACATCAGACAGAAACTTTCAGAAGCATTATTGATGACCCAAAGAATAAAACAAAATACAAAAAGGAAAAATTTCAGCATCAACAGTTTTAAAATATCTGTACTAGCTAGGTTAGATTTCAAATTCATATCTCTTCCATAAATTTTCTTCAAAACAAGAACTCTTTCTCATTAATGTCCATCAAAGACACCTAGAAATGGTAACAGAGGAATCTGAATCAAAAGTTCTTGAGAACTGACAGGATAGATAGAACACTTTTTTTTCAAATTAAAAATTAAAAAAAACAGGTGTAGGTGACATTGACCTTTGATCCTTTGAAAATAAATATATGGTATCAAATGTTGCAAGTGACAGCTCAAGTGCTCAACTGTTCAAATGCCCTTTATTGTAAGCCAGTCACACCAAAGCTTGCACTCCACTAACTCTGAAATAATGGCTCTTATTATTGGCAACTTATTTGTTCCTGCAAAACCAACCTCAACAATCTCATTTCAGTGCTTTTATTAAGGTATAACCATATTCAAACCTAACATAATAGCATCAAATGTTAAGTAATTTTATATCAAACAAGTCTTAGTGGCATGTTACTTGTTTTAGGACTGAAGAGAAAAGTATGAGAAGAGAAAACTAGGGAAGAAACAAGATAAAATTATTATTTTTATTTAAATTAGGAAGAGAAAATTAAAAAAAATGAAGAAGAAAAAAGAGATATAGGGACCATAATTTGTTCTCCCGATGTTTTTTTTCTTTCAAAAATGAAGATATTTTAAAAATAAAACATACCTTCCAAAATGGTCTTAAAAGAGAATAAAAGACATGTGAAGCTATGTCTTTTTTATATGGGTATTGTTGTCATTATAAAATTGGTCATTTTTTCTCTATATTTTCTTCTATTTATCCAAATAGAAAGAAGGAAAACACTATTTTCTTCTCTACTATTTTCACCTCATTTAAAAGAAAGGTAAAAGCCCCTTGAACTATGAGATGTATCCTCATTTAATTGAGCTCTAAAGACTCAAACTTGTTTTAACTTTGATCCACGCAAGAGAAAAATTACAGCTCAAAACCTTGGAGAGGAATTTCATTTGAGTATTTTCAATCATCAAACATGTTTCATTTTCTGTCAGTTTGCTTGTGGATTTCTCGGGATATTCCCATTGGCAGAACAAGAAGGTCCTTGTCTTCTGCAATACAACACGTTTGGCTTTGACAGCACAACAACCTCACAAGACATGCAAAGAGGAGAAGAAGAAAGTTGACCCCATCCCATAAAGCTTTAATATGAAAAGTCCTGCCACAGAGAGTCAAGAATCAGTAGGTAAAAGTCACAAAGGAAAACAAAGTTCTTTTGTTTGTAAACTTCTCTATTTGGTCAAGGACAACTATAAATATGAGCTGAATATTTTTAATGGTAGAATAAATATTAGTATAATTTAATGAATAAAAATTGATATAGTTATTAATGATACGATTCATTTCTTATAGAAGCATTTGTTTAAATTATATCATTAATATGAAGATGTTGTTGATAGGTAATATGTAAGCATTCTTTGAGTTGTGAAGTCTCCACCAACACCTTGCTAACCTAAATGTGTGAGTTTGTGCATAATTTTGTAATTGTTACTCCATTCGATTCTAAATATAAAAGCTAATTTAAGGGTTATTTTGATTCTAAATATAATATCTTAATCTATTTTGTCTTTCAAATTTATAATTTTTTCTAAATTTTTCCTATTATCACACATATTAAAAGAATATTTTTAATTGATAGAATAGTTTTATATACAAATGGTTAAAATATTTTAGAGAGATAAACATACTTCTTTTAATAAATAACTAACTTAAATAATTGTATTAATCATCGTAAAGTAGTTATCTTAGTCGTACAGATGCATTTAGCATTGGAGAAAATATATATGATTGAGCCAAAAATGTGGTTGCTTTTGTAGGTAATTCCACTGCTCTTGAACTTTATCTAAGAGGACAAAAAATTGCAAGTTTGGGAATGGTTCAATAAGGTTGTTTTGGTGGGGCTGAGTTGTAATCCCCTCTTCTTCATTTTTGTGAAATGATCTGTGCTTTTTCTTGCGTATTATATTGAGATTAAGCACTAACTTCGAGCCATGCTTAGTGACAATAATGTGACAGAGCTTACCTTATATATAAAATGCATTAAAAGGACAAAGGAGGGAGCTTTATAGGAAATGACAAGAAATTGAAGATGTGTAGTGTTTTGTAGTTGTGAGTGGCAAGCAAAGGAAGAAAGACAAAAACAAGTATTAAAAGTTCACATGTGAGAGTCACAGAGATGAACATTGGCTTTCGTGTGCTGTCATATTATGTCTTCACTCTCTATTACCTTCAACCCCTTTTGATTTTTCATATGCATATGTTATAGTCTCATTAAATCTTTTTTTTTTTTTGCGTGTATGTGTGATTATGTAATAATCGTGGATTTAGACAAAGTACTATGAAGGGGTAAAACTGTGGATGGAGTCCACTTTTTCCCTTCATATTGACTAAACATATATTTTAGCAGCCATATTATTGTAATTTATAAAAGATGTTATTTACTAGGAATTTATATTTTACATTGACCTCTTCTACAAGTTAGATTTTTTATAGTCATGAAATCGTATAATCAATAAAAATTTGACTATATGTAGAAAGCTTCGCTTAAACTTATTTTGTTCAATAATACCAAATACTCTTCTGGTTCTAAATATAGGAGCTTATGAAGGATTTTTTTTATTTTAAATGTAAGACATTAATCTACTTTGTCTCTCAAATTTATAATTTGTTTTCAAAATTATCTTTATTTATTGCACTTATTGAGGGTTTTTTATCTGTGGTGATTTTTAATGCAAATGATTGAAAGGGTATTTTAGAAAATCAATACACTTTTTTTTTTTTTGCAAATAACTGACTTACTAATTTTCAGCACCATTTTTAACACACAATTGATTTTTATAGCTGAACAGAAGGAAAATTAACATGCTATCTTAAAATCCTTACATAAAGTCGAAAATGACCCTTATCAAGTTATTCTATGATTTAAGAGAGAGAGGCAATTTAGTCATTTTATTTTAAATTATTTTTATTCCTCTTTTTTTGGCACCAAGCATTACTCATCAAAGTATTTTCATAATTTTTTCCTCATACTTATCTTCATTCCATTCACATATTTCCATCCTATTAAAAATCCGGCCCCTCAATCCAACCAAACAAGGCCTTAAATTCCTTCCCCTTTTGACTTCACTGTATATTCTGTCAATTTACGACTCTTCTAAAGAATCCGGATTCATCGTTTGACGTGGGATCCTGGAAAGCAACCCCATGTAAAAAATATCAAACAAACACATCTTACAGAACGGTGAAATAAATAAACAACGGCCTTTTTGTCTTCTTGGTTAAGACATGAGACAGATAACACAACATAGACAGACAACAACATATGCAGTATATTTTTCATATAATTCAAACTACTGTGTCGTAAGTAATACGAGCATTTTAGTCAATAGAAGCAGAAAAAAACTGGATTCCTTTGCCTTGGTTGGTTTCCATCTGTCCTCAAAATTAAAACTTCAATGCTCAAATTGTTAGTGCAGAGAGGCTATGAACAGTTGGTCACCTTTTTCTTTGTGCCCTTTAAAGTCTTGATGTGGATGTCTTTTTGACATAGGATTCTTGAAAACCACCCCATTTGATTAGTCAAAACCCATAAACCTCACACAATGCGA